ACAAAGCATAAGGTTAAACAGAATTGGACTTATGGTACTACCTTGCGATAGACCGTTTCCTGTGTGGTTAGTGTTCGACAGTGTATTATCTATTTTGATCGGGAAATGTTCTATTTCTCAGATTTAAAAAAATAAAGTTTAGCGTATTACCTCGTATCCCTTTATCATAAAGATTTGATATTAGTCCGTCTATCCGAAGTGTATAGTATGCCTTTTCTGTGTCGGGAAAATGGCGTCTGTATTTTTTTTTTTGCTTTGTTTTTCTGTATTTTTATTTTTAAACTGACATTACTATCTATAGTACTTCTATTTTTTCTAAATCCTATAATGGGATGAAGGGAGTATTTCATGTTTTTTTATTAACCAATGTAGTCTTACATTCACCATTCGTTCCATGATTTTGATGAACCAAACTGTGAGTGCAATCGGTCTGTACGATGATACTTTCTGAGAATCTTCGTTTGGTTTTTTGATTGGGATAAGAATTGAGTGCTTACATTGGTTTGGTATTTGCCCCGAGCTCCAAATTTGATTTATCAAATTTAGCATGGTCTGTTTTGCTGCTTTCGTGAGTTTTTGGTATATTAAATATTTAATCTTATCGTGTCCGGGGGTAGAGTAGAGATTTGTGCATGTTTTAATGTCCCGTCATCTAATCCATGATTTACAATCTTCAATAACATTAAGTTTGCTATTGAGTGTCATTGCATGTTTTTTTGTTTTTTTGAAGTTAAAAAAAGTATGAAATTACACGTGTTACAAGTTTGTGTTCACTTGTTCCACTCTTTACACATTCAACAATGAATGAGAAATCATTGAAAGGGACAGCGAAAAGTTGCTGTGATACCATTTTCTGATGTAGGAATTCTAAATCCTATAATTTCATGCGCTCTTTTATCTCACCACCTGGTCAACAGTTGCAGTTTAGCGCATAACTTTTCGGCGGCTTCGAGCATGGGGTCAAATGACAGCGGCTTGATTCCAGTCCTTCTCTATCATGTCCCTGGTTCAACCAAGATGGCATAGTTGTTTCTTCCCTGTTTACCACACTTATTCTAGGGTGAGTAACGTATAACCATTTATATGCTATGTATGCAATTAAGTCAGAATATTTGATATCGATACAGGTATTCGTTATTTCCTGGCATTTACACATAATATTGAAATACTATGTATATTTCTGTTTTTTTTTAATTAATTGCATATGTGTATATAAAAGAACGAACTTATACACACTGCATTTGTCTGGTACAGAAATATGATCACTATTGATACGATGCTGACTCGCATGATTTTTGTACTGTGATCATTGTACTCATGATGCTCTTTGTTTTATTGTACCTTAATTGGGATACCGCCTATTTCCGATATGTTTGAGATTGCCTTCAGTTGTTTTAAGTTCTGACATTTGATCAATATACCGTTTCGGATTCTTTTAACAAATTTTAATTTGGTGGGTCCTGCTCATTTGTCTATTTCTTTTGCTATTTCTATGGGGTTCGCGTGTCCTACGTTTTTTGTTGATTCAATTGGGATAAGTAATACTTTTAGCTCATGTTGGGTTGTGAAAGATCGATGAGGGTCGGCTCGGGCTTCTTGAAATATGGGGCTATCGCTATCCGACCCCGACTGTGCCTTTAAACTTTCTATAGTGTGGCTGTCTTCTCGTGGCCGTTTGGGAGCTCTCCTAGGGTGTTTCATTGCATTTTTATTATCTACGGGGATGAAGCTATTATTGTATGCCTCCTCTTTTGTGTCACCTTCTATCTCTGATGATAAATATTTGCGGGGATTAGGGTGGTTGCGCCTCGGTTTCTCTGGCTCGCTTCGCTCGCTCGCCAGAATTTACGGACTCCAACAACGCGAGGGCCATCGACAAGAGGCTACCAATATGGCGGCCTTCGGACATGGGTGTTGCTTCCAAGTTAGTTCTGTTGGTTAATTTAGTATACAGTGCAGTGCAGAGAAATGCCCGAAAATATATTGCTTACCTCTTGGTAATCCACATACACAAAAACAAATTTCAATACTATATGGAGTCGGGTCGGAAATAAATTAAATGGTTTCCTTTCACAGAGACCAATCGCTTTGTCCCGTGATATATTTGGGGCCAAATACAAAATTGAGCATGGTTTCAATCAGAGAAACAATTTCAATATTTTCCACGAAGAGTAGTATTGAATTCACAAAATGTATATTCCTATAGACTGGTGTTGGAATTCCAAAAGAAAACTGAGTTGAAAGTAGTAGATTCAATTCGATCGAACACCGGAGCTCGGAGGAGGCAGGTGGTAAGTGGTGGTGGATATATTCTATGTTTAATAGTTTGTATCAAATATAAGTTTTCAAAAGTTTCTTTTTTGGGTATTATTTTGCATTTTCTATACTATACTAGTGACGGTGTACAATTTATTCGTCAGACTTCGGTGTTCAATTTACTTTTGTTTAAATTATTTCTACTTCTAGACTAGCAGTTGTACTAGATGTCGTAAAGGTAGTAGAACCATTTCCCCATATTTAAGATAACTATAGTGTGCTCGCTCTGAATTAAAAAAGGAGAGAAGGATAAGTACCGGATAAAAATATTGAATTCAACCTTTCGCATGCTTTAGTCCCATATGATGGGAAAATTAATGATGCCTAGAAGGCTAGATGCCGCACGCGTCTTATTTTTTCGTACCATGGCGAGCACAGATTCCAGTATGAACTCATTTTCCTACATAAAAAGCTACGTAAGTTCGAAAGAGGTCACAAACAATTAGACTTTGATTATTTATTGCTTTGCCTCACTATTTATAAAGGCAACAAAATTGAATAAATGACCTGACACTTGAACCCTCAAGTCACCTACAAAGTGCTACATTGTATTAGAAACACGCTGTCCTTGCCGATTGAGCTAACGATGAATTGATTTGTATAATTACTCTCACCCTATTGACCACCCTACCGGATTCCATGTGCGCATGTGCAGGTTTCCCTCGCGAGCTCAATCTGGGCTCGTCGTGGTACGCAAACATAAAGCAGGGCTCCCACTTAGCCGAGTTGTATTAGCGATTTATGGCGAGTTGTGGTGAGTTGTCTCAAAGAGGCACTCGCAATAACTCGCGAACAATTCGGTATGGCTTAGCGTAACTCTTTACAACATTCCACGACTCTCCCCGAAGTCGCGAGCAGCTCCAACATTTTGAACATGTTCAAAAAATGTCCCCGATTCGTTGTAATTCGAGGTGAACTCGCCTACACCCGTAATATACTCGCATTACTCGTAACAAATTCGCGCTACACTCTATATAACTCATAGCAACTAGCCACATTATGAAGAGTGCAGCGCGAGCTTGTTACGAGTAATGCGAGCATATTACGAGTGTAAGCGAGTTCACCTCGAGTAACAACGAATTCACCTCGAGTAACAACGAATCAGTAAACATTTTGAACATGTTCAAAATATTCGCTGATTCGTTGTAGCTAGAGGTGAATTTGCTTAACACTCGTAATATACTCGCATTACTCGTAACAAGCTCGCCACCTTTTGAAGAGTGCAGCGCGAGCTTGTTACGAGTAATGCGTGTATATAACGAATGTATTAAGCGAGTTCACCTCGAATTACAACGGATTGGGGAAATTTTTTGAACGTGTACAACATTTTGGAACTGCTCGCGACTTCGAGGAGAGTTGTGGAATGTTATAAAGAGTTACGCTAAGCCATACATAATTGTTCGCGAGTTATTGCGAGTTCCTCTTTGAGGCAACTCACCACAACTCACCATAATTCGTTAATACAACTCGGCTAAGTTGGAGCCTCGAGTTGTGGCGAGCTGGCGCGATCTTATGGCAAGCAGTTTTATCATTTAAACATATTTCTTGATATCAAGAATTCAATTCTTGATATCACGAAATCGAATTCCTAATATCACGAAATCGAATTCTTGTTATCAAGAATTACCATTGCTTTACAACATAAAGTTATTTCTTGATAACAAGAATTGATTTATTGATATAAATTAATAATAAAACGGCTTGCCATAAGATCGCGCCAGCTCGCCACAACTCGAGGTTCAAACTCGGCTAAGTGGGAGCCATGCCGCACAGTAAGCCAGGGCCAAATACCGAAAAGGGAATCTGGTGAACACTGTCATCAAATCCACCGTGCGCTGGTGCATGCTAACTTGCCATTCATCAATATTCTTATCTGCCTGCGTCTTTGCCTTGAATAAGAAAGTGGGGAAGAAGAACTCATGCAACTGTCCTCATTTTAAACTCAAACAAATCACATAGTGGCATAAGTCTAAAACAAAGATCCACTCACCTTTGCAACCAACTAACAAGTCAACGCAAAGCGTAGCATCCCCACGCCGGGTAAAAATGGCCAATAAACGTTAGAAATTCTATCAAAATCCGCCCAACATTACTTAAGTTATCAAACGGAAACCACATTTTTGCATACATAATTATTGTAGCTATTTATCATGTACATAATTAGCGATTCTTTACATATTTAATGAGCTGTGAGCTTTGACATTTCACGTACATACTCAACAACATAACTTACGTTATTGAATGAAAACCACATCTTCGCAAATATAATTTCGTATTTTCGCACATTTAGTGAGATATGACCTTTGACCTTTGACCTAAATACTCCAAAAACTCCTAAATACTACTAAATCGAACTTGGCCTGTATTTTGATACCATGTACCTCCACGTCAATCCGTCAAACGTTACTAAAGTTATCGAACGGAAATCAAATTTTCGAATACACGATTAGCTTTTTTCGCATAGGCTATCTAATGAGCTATGACCTTTGACTTTTGACATACAAACTCCGAAATCGAACTTAGGATGTGTTTTTATACCATGTACCTTCATATAAAATTTCATTAAAATCCGTCAATCATTACTAAAGTTATCAAACGGAAACCAGATTTGTTACAGACGGACGGCAGCGTTACTATATCCCCTCGCCGACGAAGATAATATCGTTAATAAAAGGTATTCTTACTTCGTCTGTGTCTTTATCGTAAAGGGCTGCCTGCCACGGCCAATCCCCTGAACCGGCTCTATTACCACCAACAATGCGAGACGTCCCCGACAGGTGTTTTGACTCTCCACATTCCTCGTAAGCTATGGAATATTGAAACCACATATGAATAATTAAAGAATTTAATGAATCAGGGTTGACGAGATCTAAATCGTGATTTAAAAAAAAAAAAATTGTTTTGAAATCGGTGATTTCAATCACTTCCATTCACATATGTGTTCATATTTTCCTTCTTTTGCACAGATTTGTGCTACTAATATACTATATCGTTTAATTTAAGATTTTGTTGTTGATATAGCTAAAACCTAGGCCAATGCATACATTGATGCAACAGCACCACACTGAAATCTCCTATTGAGTTTTCATCCTTTTCGTTCTTCTATGACCGTTTCAATACAGATTTACAGCTCTTTTTCTCCGTCCGTTCATCTTTTCTTGGATAATTCCCCATGCATTTCTTTATTTTTATTCATGTATCCTTTCTTTCGCTTCGCTTATGTTATTTTTTGTTTTTAACTTTCTTTAAACTTTTCTTTTATCTTTCCTAATGTTATTCGTATTAAAATTTGACAGTCAAGTAAGTCCTCTTATACATGTACGAAAACTACCGGTATCTTAATTCCAATAATAGGTTACTTTACAGTTGAAAGAACACCCCCCCCCCCAGAAAAAAAAATAAGTGTAGGCGTTCTTAATAATAATATGATATGTATTCCTGCCCTTTGATGTACAATATTCCTTACGAAACATACAAAAGATATATAAGTGAAGATATGCTTGGCATGATTTGATGCCTTTTAGCATGACATGGACGCAACCATTTTTTTTTAAATGTAGGCCTATTGTCATGTGGGTGCAAGGTTCATGTATATGGAGAACAAAATGGACATATAATTAACCTAATACGAATGGAGAGTGAAAATATAGTTTCACTTTCTATTATTGGCTAATAGAGAATATGGTTGGTAATGCAATATTGAAATTAATATAATCCGTATAAACAATCAGTAAACCTTCAGTAAACAATATAATTTTTCATTCAAGCACATCTATTAGATAACAATTTGATTTACGTATATGCTCAGCATTTATGAACAAGAGATCTGTTTTTACATTATTCCAGTTTTGAATTGTGCAACCTCACAATGAAGGGGAGTGCGCTCTTTATGTAGCGCTCATTTTTGCATTTTATTTCTGAATAGTCTTTAGCGTTTCGCAGGTCGCGGGAAGTGCGGGAAGCTCGCGTAGGGGGGAGCCAGTGATAGAAGGGGGACGTTTCCTTTGTGAGGTTACTCGCAAATTTCTTTGTTAACCTTTCCCTCCTCCCCTCCAGTGAGGGAAGGTCAAGAACATTGAAGGCATCATCATAACTCGTGTATCTTTGGCCAAGCATGAGGAGACACGCTCGTTTCTAAATTCTCTCCATCAGTTTCTTGTCTGCCCGAGTCAAACCTGAATGGCAAACAGGTGCGCAGTATTCGACTTTCGGGCGCACGTACGAACAATACACAACTTTCAGATCCTCAACAGGTAGCCGAAAATCTTTCAAGATACGCATCATTGTGTAGCCTCATGCTTTGCCGCCTTGACCATTTCTGTGACATGATATGTCCATTTTAAGTCCTCCTGTACAAACACACCCAAAAGCTTAACTAGTTGTACTTCACTTATTTCCAGGTCACCAATTTTACTTTTGGGACGGTTGCCTGGTTTCTAATGAACTGAATGCTCATGATGACACATTTGCTAGGGTTCAGTTTCATGCTATTGTCTTTGGTCCATTTCCCAAGTTAAAAAGTGAGGGGGCTCGAGCCCCCTGAGCCCCGCCGTTCCACGGGCCCTTACATGTAGGCTTCTAAATAAGCATATTTTTTGGCCTGACTTAGAATTTGGGAATTTGTTATTTTCCAACAAACGCATACAAAAGTATAATTTACAAAAAAATCCCGGAAAATCATGTCATTTCAGCATTTGTAAATCACTGGTATTGAATTTTTGAAATAAACCTCGTTTGAGGTCTTTTTTGCACCCCCATCTGTACGCCAGTGCTCATGACTTCAGGTACGCGTACAAGTTTTAATCGCACACGTCCTTGATTTTTACAACAACAAAAAACAACCTTGCAACAAAATTGTGTAAGTGTAAAAATTGCGATTTAGATTTTATAAGATCACGTTTTTTTAAAACCCTGGAATAAATAGGCAAAGTGAATGAAAAACTTTATGAATAAATAAATAACCCCCCCCCCCGAAAAAAAAATAAAAAAATAAGTAAACATATAAATAGAATGAAGAAATGAATGAAGAAATGAATGAATATACATAAATGACTATGCAAATAAATGAAGTAACAACAAATAGATATAAGGTATAATATACTTTATATCTATTTTTTTTTGCATGTGACGAATTCTTGGAAATGAAAAACGAGTATTTTCACTCGTTTTTCATTTCCAAGAATTCGCCATATGCAACATTACATTTGTACTTGGTTGAGAGTTTAGGGCAGATTTAGTCCTGGGAAGTGGAGGCGGTCAATAGACCCGATTTTTTTAAAAAGGGGCCTCTCTTTTTCTGCCCATGAAAGCGTGCTCATGGAGTTGCAAAGTGCTAGAAATTTACAAAATCGAATTCGAATCTCCAGTCAGTTAAAGAGAACAAATTAAAAGTAAAAGCAGAAACATAGTAAAACAACAACGACAAGCAAAGCGTGCCGGATAATAAAAGCGGACAACCTTTTACGAGTTTGATTCATGGGCGTCAATCCTTACGTAATACCTATTGTTCGGGGGGGGGGGTGGGATGAATGAATAGATCACCCCCCCCCCCCGAACAATAGGTATCAATTAAAGATCTACGCCCATGGTTTGATTAATGTTACTCATCAGGTTAAGTGAGAGGTAGAACTGTGAATAGAATAGGTAAATTAAGAGGCAATATGACACTTAAAATATAAGTCTTAATGCTAATTTATATAAAAATGGAAGGCACTTTGAAAACACAAGACTATCTTCTGCTTCTTTTTTTACATAGGCTTACTCAATAATCTTCACGCAGACAAGATCGCAAAGAATTTCGAGAAATCCACTCGAGGGCAGTTAATATAGCCTATATCGGCCAACATGATAGATCATCGTGATGATTTTAAAATGTTATTTCAAGGCTACTTCAATTATAAACCAAGATTTTGTTTTATTTCTTTGTATGTTGTCAGTTTGGTTTTCTTTATGGTAATTGATGGACCAAATACTTTTGTTGGGATTACTCACATCTCTTTGTACAGGTAATGGCTTCCACGGCGCGTTCCAGCGCCGGATAACCCGAGAGAAGAAATATATGTTCGCTGACAGGCAGAGAGGCGATTTCGGCAAGTGCTTGCTTATTAATGTTCTGGCTAATTCCTATGCAGTGTATCTTGACGGCCAAATCTTCTTTTAGTGGTTGAGCGCGTTCAGATGGGTCGCCACCAACGTTACTGAAACCTGATAGATAACAACAGCCATGAATCTTGCGATTTATAATTAACGGTTACACAGGATACCCCCTCCCATTTTTTTTCCTGGGGATGATAGGGGGGGGGGGGGTGATGACCCGTATGGCATTTTTTTTCTTCGAAGATTCATAACACCGAACATTAAATAGAAATTACATAATTTTCAAATTATGAATTATCTGTAAATATACTGTATTGAACCTATTTTATTTTTCGGCTTTATAATTACGAACTAATTTAATTTTAATTTCAATCCACCTCCGAAAAGCGCAAGAATAAAAAGGCTATCAACCCTTTGTTATGGAAAATTTGTATTGCATTTTTTTGTATTTGAATTATAATCCTTCGGGAAAACTGATCTTTGGAATATATATATTTTTTAAATCCAAGTTAGTAACCACCCTCATTTCAACGAAATTGTAAAATTCGATTCTCTAGATTAAAGGGATAGTTAAGTTCTGTTTTCAGACCGCTAATGCCTTCAAAGTGCATGGTTATTGCTCTTATTCTTATCTAAGACATTTGTAGCGCCTTTAAGAACCTACAATTGCTATGAAGGTAAGTTTAGACCTCCAAATGTGTGAAATTTACCCAATACGATTATACCAATTCAGCTCCACTTTAAACAAAAATAAGATAACCTTTAACTAATTATTTAATTAAAAATAACAATTCATGGGCCGGCTGGTTGAGCGTAATATAACCATCACGAAAATGCCAACAAAAAACCGACATCGGCATTGGCTGAAATACGACGTAAAAGATGCCATTTCGTTTTTTCAACGGCTTTTTCAAATTTTCTAATATTTGTGATGGTACCCAAGTAGTAGAAATCGTTATATTTATTAATATTTCAGCCGTCTCTGAACCGATTTTGATCAAACAAAGATGATTTTGTCATTTAAATTGTAGGTTCTTTCAAATTTGATATTCAGTTTATCATTATCTCACAAACAAAATTATTTCGTGTATCGCCCTCTGCAACAGAACTCAACTATCCCTTCAAATGGAGGACAAATGGCAGTGGCTATATTAATACAAAGATGATAAGGAATGATACCGGAGTATTGGCTCAGTCAGTAGAGCGTCCGCCTCACAACCGGGAGGTCGTGGGTTCGAACCCCGGCCGCGAAATACCAAAAGACGTTAAAAGATGGGAGTTGTTGCTACCTTGTTTGGCGTTCAACAATAAGGGATAGAGCAACGTCGATCTGTGGCTGCCGGGCTCACGATCAATTGGGCAAAAAGAATTTTCGTTTCGGTTTAATAAAATTTGGAGTGGACTATTAGGCTATTATTATTATTAAGGAATAGTTGAATAGATGTGTAGTGTAACGTTTCAGAATCAAAATGAATGTAATTCGACTAATCTTGCTGAAGGTCAAAACCGTGCAAACCTATGCATACATATTTTGGTACACACGTACAGTCATGTGGCGCAAAAATGTTTATCCAAAGTTTCAAACTATCTCTCGTCAAATTTAGAAGATGTATTTCAAGAGCAATATCTTAATGTGATATTTTCACTATGGTGTTTTAACACAAAGAAAGAATATATGAATAGTAATAAATCATTTTCACCTTTACAAGAACATTTAGCCTTCTCGTTAAGATGAACTTACCGTCTGTTATGATAAATATAATTCGTTTCCTGCTACTGTTCCCATATGGTTCCAGGGTTTCGCCGGTAATCATTTCCTTGATTTCATTGAGAGCAGCGGGCAAATTCGTTCCTTTATCTGTCACAAGAAAGCCGAAGATTTAGTATTTTTTGAAATCCTTTCTTTATACTTCTTTCAATTAATCATTCATTTTCTATATCAATATCGAATCAGTTTGGTTTTGAAGTCAATGATGGATCGGTTTTTGACGGAAAAATTTACTTAACTTCTTTAGGTATCAAGTATTCCATTCGATTACATAACTTTGCAAGGGTGGTGGTTAAAATGTTTCGAGACACAATTGATAATACAACATGCACAGCAATCACCAAGATATTTCTTTAAAGGGAAAGTCCACCCTGAAATTAAGTTAGTTTTAATAGGAGTAGAAAAATGAAAGAAACAAGTCAGTGAAAGTTTGAGCAAATTCCGATTAAAAATAAGGAAGTTAGGATTTTTGAAGTTGTGAGCAATCAAACACAAATTGGCAACTCTATGACGTATCATGCGAGCTCAACTTCCATTTGCTCAGTACTAAAAAAATCTAAAATTTTCATTTTCCCTCAAGAAAAATTTCAACCATACATGCACCCTAAATATAATAATTGCAAATATGTTTCTATACTCCCCCTGCAAGGAACAAATATATATTCCGTCATCAATAACGAAGAAAACATGATTTTATGGAATATTATGCACAAAGCAAATGAAGGAGAGCTCGTATGATAAGTCACAGAGTTGCCAATTTGTATTAGATTGATCACAACTTCAATAATTCATAACTTTCTTATTTTCATTCAGAATTTGCTCAAACTTTCACTCACCTGATTTTCTTATTATTCTGCCTCTATCGAAACAAACTTATTTTGGGGGTGGACTTTCCCTTTAAGCATCACCCCCTCACTCCCCTAACAACAACAAAAATATAGAACGAGGCACATATAAAATTGCGTGTGTGTGCGCGTGTGCATGCGCGCGTGTGTGTGTCTGTGTCATATCAATAAAATATAATTTTTTTTACGTATAGGGGCCGACCTTTAACGTCACCATCCGAATGACTTGACTCAGTCTCGAAACGGGGTTGCCTACATGAGCCAGTTTGTAGGCGAAGACAGAGCTGACCAAGTGAACGTGCTGCTGGACCAACTCACATCTCCCTTGAGTTCAAAATCATAATGCATGAACTCAAAGCCCTCCCCAGCCCCTCCCCAGCCCCCCTCCCCTTTAGCCCCGCCCCCTATTCTTGTAGAATCGCGCATGCTCTTGCCATTCTCGCCCAGCAGCGGGTTTCGGAGGCAGTTTGTCGTATCTTGTCTGAACGTCGCTTATATTTACTTTTGTAATTGACAAGCCCCTCGATGGCATTAACTACAGCTTCTGAAGACGAATAATCGTTGACATTGAACAATCTGCTTGCTTGAGACGAGTAGGAGACTGCCCCGACACGCGTTCCACCAGGCGAGGAAGTCACTTGAAGCTGCAACAAATAAATGTATATATTTAGATTCATAATCAGATTATTTCATCAACCCATATCTTCAAAACAGAGACAATCGGCCTCTATTGGTACACAAAACAATGTACATATTAAATAAATATCATCCATATGAATGATTTGAATAAATGATGACAAATGCATGTTTGTAAGTGTGTTTTTGCCTGCGATGCAACTTTTGAAATTTAAATGTCCTACTTTCACCAGGCGCGGATCCAGGATTTCTTAGGGGGAGGGGGGCCCAAATTTGAAATTATGAGAGCCAACTATTGGTACGTAATGGTGACCAGTTGGGTGGGGGGGGGGGCAGACAAAAATCCGCATCACCGCACTCTTACATGCAGGCCCTGCTGAACGTTTTTCAAAGTGGGTGGGGGGAGGCTAAAATATTTACAATTAGTTAGAGCGTACCGTTAATTGGCGTTGGGTCTAGGGAAAAGCCCCGTCGGGGGTCAAGGGGCTTAGCCCCCGAAATCTTAGGGGGTATGTGCATTTGATTCCAGTCAGATGAGCATATTTTGATACTTTATTCATGACACTGGCAGGTCACTAATTTGCGTTGGGTCTAGGGGCGGAGCCCCCACAAGCTCAGGGATTTAAGCCGTTTTATAACGGTCAGATAAGCATTCAGAGGCCCGCCTTAAGCCCTTCGGTAGCTCAGGGGTTTTAGGCATTTACATACGGTCAGATGAACATATTTTGATACCTTATTTGTGACACTGGCGGGACACTTATTGGCGTGAGGTCCGGGGATGGAGCCCCCAGAAGCTCAGGGTTTTAGGCATTAAATTATCGTCTGATGAGTGTCCAGGGGCCCGCCTTAGGGCCCTTGGTTGGGTCTAGGGGGCGGAACCACCGGAAGTTCAGGGGTTTTGGGCAATTAATTACGGTCAGATAAGCATTATTTTGATACCTTATTTGTGACACTGGCAGGACACTAATTGGCGTGGGGTTAAGGGGCGTAGCCCCAATGAGCTCAAGGGTTTTAGTAATTTAATTACCATCAGATGATGGGGGGGGGGGGGGGGTGGGGGCCCGCTCGGTCCCCTGGATCCGCGCCTGACTTTCACTAAACATACATCAGACGAACCGAACGGTATAGTTAAAGGTAATATAAAGTTTTGGGAATTTTTGAAAATTTGTTGGATAGTGATTTTTTTAATTATGATATATTTGGATGCCCCTGCGGATGTATGATAAGCACTAGAAAATTTAGCCTCTAAAACACTTCTGCTTTTGAGAAAAATTGAATATACAAATTTACTGGTGCTCCCGGTAAATGTTTATACAGTTTAAATAGCGCCTACGGCCGTACACTGGTAGCTGCGACCATGAAAATCTCAGGATATGTACAGTAGTTGGGATATATAACTTTCAAACGAGAATAACTAATCGGTCAATTTTAGTCAAGAAACATTGTTTTATAGCTTAATTAATATCTTGACCGTGAGAGGGAGCTATACAACATAAAGAGTTTATTTACAATTTAATCACTTTAGACTCGATTTCAACCGCGACAACCATCACTGAGTATTGTAGGATCGCATATGCTTCCAATATGTTCATTTGAACCGAATTCATGACCCTTTACCAAAACTTTGTATTACCTTTAAGCTCACTTAAACAAAATTCTGCTTGTCCCTCTCTTTTAATATTCACGTTTTGGACGTAAGAAATAACAAAAATTGTTGCATAGGTATTCGTCAATTTTGTTATTTTCACGTCTTTAACGTAAAGACCAAAAAAAGCTGCATAGGTATACGTATTTTTGTGTCACGTCTTGGAACGTAAAAGAAGACAAAAATGTTTCATGTATATATATATATATACACGCCAATCCTTTGCGTTTGCGTGTCCCTTTAGGAGCCACCATAATTAACCAAGGTTTAGTGCTATAAATCCATAATAATTCCTTTTGAACAAACCAAAAAAGGATATTCAGCCTGTTTGAGGTTAAAAGGAGTCCATCCCTTTTCAAGCCACTAAGTGTCATACAGGGTTCCCGCCAGGAAAAATGGGAATCTTGCCCTTTCTATGCCTTTGTTTACTCGGAACATTTCAAATTCACCCATTGATTTAAAATAAATTATATAACAATGGCATAAAATTATGTAAAATTATCAATTGATCGACTTTTTTATCCTCAATAATTCATTTTAACACAATTCTATAGGTAATGTTTATAAGTTGTTATTAAAAATAGAAATTTAAAGATTTGTCAAACTCTATTAACTCTTTTCCTCTTTAACATAGACATTCACTTTCTTATATTTTTGCTTTATACTTCTCTAACCTTTCGCACTAGAAGCTTGGCAAATTTCTTGCCTATCTTGAAGTTTTCAATTCCAACACTCCTCGACGCATCAAACGCAAAATAGATATCCATTCCAGAAGAGAGATTAATTGTACGTTTTCTTCGCACACCTGAGTTCGAGCTCGTGTCATTTTGACCCACCCAAGAGCCGCCGTCGATGACGATTTCGTCGAAGGTCTTCCCTAGCCCATTTATCACTCGAGAAAGTTCGTCGAACTCATCACGACCTTAAATTTAAACAGAGGAGATTTCTGCTACAAGATCATCCGAACATGGGTAATAATAATGGTACACAGTCTAAGAGCCCATCCAGTGCGCCCCTGAGCAGCAAAGTAAATTTGACGTATGATGTGTCAAATGACAGACCGAGCACTTTGAAGTTTGAAAACTACGTTTCCGGGCCCTCCGGGAGATGGTTTTTATACGTGAGTATAATACAATGGAAGTTTCCATTTCTTTTTCATTTTTTTAAGGGGGGGGGGGTGTAAATTAGTGTACCAGGTGTTTTTTAATCAGTTAATATTTTTTTTGTGGTGCGGTGAACACTTGCGCATTTCGAAATTATGTAATAAAGAGTTACTTGGTACGCCTACCTTTAGGGGGGGGGGGTGTAAAATGTTATTCTTACCCATGCATCTTGGCATCTCTCCTGTCCACTCTCCAGAAAACGTACATATCCTCTCTTCGGAACCAACCATCTCATAACCATGGTTGCATCGAAAATTGACCTTGGTGTTTACTCTGTACTGCGGAGAGCTGACTTTAGAGCCGTGTATGGGATTCCCCAATGCGGGACAGTCGTACTCTATAGTGAAAATAAGAACATAAAAGTTGAATACCGCAAAACGGTGTGGTTCATAATGCAGGTACATTACATGTAACTCCACAACCCTGGACATACACCTACACGCACGCACCCACTATCAGGGCTGTAAATATATAAATGACGTAGGATTCTCTCTCAGAGACGATATGTGTAAGGTTTATAAAATAACCAATCCCTTGTACAACACATTCTACTGTGGTCCTGTATGTTTTAAAGGGGACGTGCGTGTGCGTGCACGAGTTTGCGTGTGTGCGTAAGTGTATGTGATTACGTTATTGGAAAAAGAAGGCAAAATCCATTATACATCCAAAATTTGAGATGGTGGAAACAAAGAGATCTCATACGTATGGGTAAAATACAATTGTTAAAAACATATGCATTATCAAAGTTAAACTACAGTATGTCTCATCACTTAAAGTTGTTCCTCAGTGGTTGTTAAGTTAGGTGGAAAACATTAATTTTGAATTTTTGTGGGCAGGTAAAGACCGCGTAAAGAGAAAGATAATGTATAAGGATTACTCTCATGGAGGGTTAAAAATGATGAATTTTAAATTGTTTGTAAAGGCGCAACGTTTGATGTGGCTGAAATATTTATTGTATGGAGATAGGTGTGCTGGATGGAATAGTATTTACAATTTTGTTTTAGAACAGTTGGAGGGAGATTTCTGTTTAAATGTGACCTTGACACGTCCAAATTAACATTGAAAATACCACCATTTTATTAAGAAATGCTAAAGGCTTGGCAGGATATGAGGAAGTATGGATTGTATGAAGAGGAGGTAAATCCAGTTATATTAAATAATCATAATATATGTATAAGACGTAAAATGATTTTTGATTATGATCTATTTAATAAAGGCATACGCACTGTAAATTAAATTTTCGATAATGGACATATAAAGCGTTTGGCTTATTTCCAAAATCTTGGGATTAATGCAAATCAATTACTCCAGATAATCGATATTGCTCATGCAATACCAACTAGTTTGAAGAATGCTACTCCTTCGGTTAAATAACAAATATATGATTTTGTAGACTTTAACATAAACATGAATATTGCTTAGCAGGAAATAGGTTTCCAGGTAGATACATCTAACACTATTAATAACTGTTTTGTTCAACAGAGTAACAGTAAAGGATGGTCACAGCAATTTTAATTTTACACAAAAGGAAATCTGTACATTTTTATCCGAGCAAGGAGCACAACTCTTATCAGAAAACAAAGGGAATTTCAGTTTAGGATTTTACATGGAGCCATATACACAAAGGAACATTTGATGAGGTTTGAGTTTGTGGGGGGGGGGGGACAATTACTGTTCATCCTGTAATAAAAAGACAGAGTCTTACATACATTTATTTCTGAGCTGCGCGAAGGTTAAACAGTTATGGCAATTCTGTATTCAATATTTCGGCTTAGCTGAATTAAGAGACATGCAATGGGGAGATATATTTATGGGACTACCTGGCAATTCGAATAAACTCACATAAACTCCACTACACAGGAGAAATGTGAATGTAATGAGTGTTTACAGAATGACCATGTTATAGGAGGAGATGAAGTATCTAGAGCAATACTTAGGTTAAATCATTCCAAAAGTGATGGTGTAACAGGTGTGATGTCTGATCATATTATACATGGAAAGAAAATAATCAGTGGATATTTAGCAATGCTTTTTACTGCCATGTTATGGCATGGAGTGTCGCCAGATGGTATGCTCAAAAGTACAATGGTACCAATACCTAAAGGTCGTTGGAAAAATTTGGGCGATTCAGGAAACTTTCGTGCAATAACACTTGGTAGTATCATTGGTAAAGTTTTAGATTATGTATTTATGAAAAGGGAAGAAGGGAACTTGCAGACTAATGACCTACAGTTTGGTTTCAAAGCAGGGTTATCAACTACACTATGTACTGCTATGGTTAAAGAAACTGTATCGTACTTTAATCATGAAGGGAGTAATGTGTATGGATTATTGCTAGATGCTAGTAAAGCATTTGATAGAGTTAATTATGTGAAATTGTTTGACATTATGCTGAGCAAAGGGGTCTGCCCAATGATATGCAGGCTATTGCTTAATATGTATAAGAATCAAAGGCTAAGGTTGAAATGGAACAATGCATATTCTGATTATTTTACAGTTAAAAATGGTGTTAAACAGGGTGGAGTTATCTCTCCTTGCATGTTCTGTTTGTATCTAGATGGGCTGATAGAAGAGTTATGTGACAATGGGATAGGGTGCTTTATGGGCAATGTTTTTGCAGGAGCATTTGGTTATGCAGATGACTTGACACTGCTGTCACCTAGCGTGACTGCTCTTCAAGAAATGATTAAAACTTGTTTAGATTATGCCATTAAATTTGATATTTTGTTTAACCCTGAAAAGAGTCAGTTAATAGTTTTCAGCTGTAATGGTAAACCAGTTATGGATCCAGGAATCACGATAAATGGAAGACATATTGATATTGCATCAAAAGTAACTCATCTAGGGAATGATATTTCTAAGAATATAAATGATTTTGATATCTCAAAGTGTGTTGGAGATTTCAATCGACAATGTAATATGTTTTTGTTTAATTTCAAATATGCTAACTCTCACATAAGAAATATATTGTTTCATAAATATTGTTCGAGTTTCTATGGCTCACAGTTATATCCTCTGTTTGATAAATGTTTTGATAATATTTGTAGACAATGGCGGGTTGCAATAAGAAGGGTTTGGAAAATTCCATGGCAGACACACTGTCATCTTTTGCCTTATTTAGCAGGTGTTATGGATCCAGAGTTATGGTTTGCAAAAAGATGTTTATCTTTTGTTTTGAAAGCTATGAATTCCAAAAATTATACAGTGGCACATATAGCTGGAATGGCCAGGTATGGAGCTCATTCTGTGTTGGGAGGTAACATAAGATTCTTGAATGATAAGTACTTCATGGATAACAATGAAATTCAAAAGCAGTGGGCTGTGCAATGCCAAGTGAATGATGAGACAATACGAATAGTTGAACAAGTAAAGGAATTGATCAACTCGAGGGATGATTATTTATGTAAGGGTTTCCTTAACCGAGAGGAGTGCGAGGAAATTATCTTGTATTTATGCACACTCTGATCTTACCCTGTTATACATGTATTCTGTTGTTGATGTTGTTTTTTTGTCTTTACATATATTGTGAATGTGACTATTTGTAGAATATATTGTATATTTTTTGTTATTTTTGTATATGTGCTTTTTAAAGCGAATAAAGAACTCTTGAATTGAATATAAATAAATGTGTGAATTTTTTGGTCATATTTATCAAATATGTAATCTTCTTTCGTAGAATCTTCCATTGTAGGGCTCAAGGCCATGTACCTTCCAGTGTGAATATATAGCGGACTTTATGAGGAAGAAAAAAAACTTAGCAGTAAAGGTGGGCAAGTTGAATTTGCACCTACAAAAGTGGGAAGAGCTAAAAGTGAATAAGAATATGAATGTGAACAGGTATGACGTGTGAAATGTCGTGCGCGTGTGAATATCTGTATGTTTGTGAGGTGCGAGCTTGTGAGTGTGAATGCGAATGGTTGCGGGGGGGGGGGGGGGAATTAGAAGAAGGGATTGAGGGGTGGCAGGGAATACTAACGGAGGGTGCATTGTATACAAATTGTATTTTGTTATTTTTCACGAGTGATGGTAATGAATAAATTCATTATGTTTTATTATTATTAGACAAATTTAGTGATTTCATTCTATTATTTTCCTTCTTTGTTCACTGCTTTGTGAATAATTTATTTGTGTTATGAAAACAAAATGAAGATTTGTATTTGTACGGAAGTATTTACAAGAACAGGTTAAGACAGCCTACTTAAATATTAGCGATTCATTTCTAGGAGTCACAAAGACGGAAAAGAAAGAGTGGATAACTGATGATACTTGGCAAGCCATAGATAAACGGAAGGGTGCGAAAAAACAAGCCATGGAAGCAAATCAGACATACTGAAAGAAAGGTAAAAGCTTCAGTACCGAGTGGCAAACATGGTCGTAAAGACGAAGACAAGAGCAAGCAAACGTGCCTTTGTTGAAGACCTTGCAAATCAGGCAGAGGAAGCAACCATTAAAGGCGAACAAGGAAAAGTATATACAACTACTAAAATAATCAGCGGCAAGTAAAGAGGAATCACAAATTCACCTAGTGAAGACAAGCAGGTGAGGCTTCTTACAACAGAAGCAGAACGGGAAGCTAGATGGGCCGAGCAATTTAGCGAGGTTTTGAATAGACCACCACCGACAGTAGAGGCTGGCATACAAGAGGCAGAGGATGACTTGGATGTCAGCAGCATACCACCAACTAAATAAGAAGTAATAACTGCAATTAAATCTCTTAAAAAATGTTAAAGCCCCGGCTCTGACAATCTCAACGCAGAACTTTTTAAGGCGGTCCCAGAATTAGCAGCAAAAATCCTTCTGCCACTATTCGCAACTATATGGGAAACAAAGGCAGTTCCTGACGATTGGTCAGAGGGAGTTATTGTAAAATTACCAAAGAAGGGATCACTAAAAAACTGCAATAACTGGCGTGGCATCACACTATTGTCAATACCAAGCAAAATATTGGCAAAGATAGTTTTTACCCGTACCATAGATGCTGTTGACCAAAGCCTCAGAAGGGAACAGACAGGTTTTCGGAAAGGAAAAGGATGCACTGACCATATATTTGCACTACGTAATAGCATAGAGCAATTCGATAGCATCCACCTAAACAGCCTTTGGAGAATACTACGTAAATATGGGATACCAGAGCAGCTAGATCTTGTAATTAAGAGCTTTTACATCAATTTCACATGCAGAGTTGGAAACAGTAACCATAAGTTCCAGGTGAAGATTGAGATAGGCAAGGATGTGTCATATCAGCACTGCTCTTCAATATCGCCATAGACTGGGTGAGAAGACAGGCAACTGAAGACCAAAAAAGAGGCATAAGATGAACCCTCTTTTCTACACTTGAGGACCTCGACGTTGCAGATGATCTCGCTCTTCTTTCACACACCCGCCAGCATATGCAAGAAAAAATATCCAGACTCAGTGATTTTGCCTAGAAATTGGCTTGAAGATCAGCCAAAAGAAAACAGAGGTGATGACCCTGAACATTTCTGACCCTTACCAATACAAGCAATGGACAGCACTGTCAGGCACGATGAAGGCGCAGGCAAAGACATTAGGAACTGTCTTAATAAAGCCAGAAATGCATTCAGAATGCTCAATAATATATGGAGATCACATCAGTACAGCATCACGACCAAGATAAAGTTGTACCAGAGCTGTGTCCTTTCCACTCTTCTGTACGGCTCTGAATGTTGGAGAATGACAAAAAACGACCTCAAAAGCTGTCGGTCTTCCACACAAAGAGTCTGAGAAGAATATGTCGCATTTTCTTGCCAAACAACATTTCAAACGAAGCACTGTATGCCAAATGCCATCGGGACAGCATGGAGAACATCATCATGAGAAGAAGGTGGAGATGGATCGAACATATGATGAAAAAGAACATAGATGACATCACACGAAAAGCCCTCCACTGGACACCAGAAGGCAAAAGAAAGAGGGGACGTCCTAAAACACTTGGCGAAGAACTGTGGAAGGATAGATTAAACACATGGGGAACCATCCAAAGACTGGCCCAGGATCGGACGGAGTGAAAGACTTTGTTGCTGCCCTATGTGTTAGGAGGCATAATTGGTCAGTAATTAAGTAAGAATTTCATACATTGATTTGTTTGTAATGATTTGTTCTGAATGAAATCTCTATTAAACAAATATACCAATGCAGTGCAGGGTAACTAGCTGTAGAAAATATTATACTAATGGTAGCTCTCAATCTTTTTGTTGTATCATTGACATGAATTGCAATGTCGGGTGCAGGATCCAAAAGGGATGTCATTGATGTTCTTTCTTTTTATGTGCAACTGGTCAATGCGCATTAGTGTTTTATTTTATGTAAATCTAATCAAGGAAGGTTTAAGTTTGTTGGTTTCTAATAGGAGTTAGGATGTTAGATATGTGGTAAGATGTATGGGTGGGTGCTGTTGTGTGAATGGCGTATTTGTACAGTGTTCTATGTGTTGAGTGGATAAGTGTTGTGTCCGTGGTGTGATCTTTTGAGTGAGGATGATTGGCTAGAGTTTCAGTGTTGTGCACGTGTGAAATAGTGTATGTACTGTGAGGTGCGAGTGAATGTGAATGTTTTTTTTTGTTGGGGGGGGGGGGGGGTTAAGTAGTAGAATGGGTGGAGGGGTGGCTGGCTTAGGGTGCATTGTATATAAATATGTATAATGTTTGTTTTTTGTTTTTGTTTTTTTCTTCATGAATGATGGTAATAGTTAAGTTCAGTATATCATTATTATTATTAGAAAATTTAGTGATTTCATTCCATTAATCTCCTTCTTCGCTCACTGTTTTGTGAATAATTTATTCATGTTATGAAATGAAATGAAGATGTGTATTTGTATGGAATTATTTACAATGATTTCTATGCAATGATTTATTTTTAATGAAATTTCTAATTAAAAAATATTGAAAAAGAAACAAGTGTTTGTGTGTGCGTGAAAATGTACAATATTGCACATTCATTTATGAGATCTGTTTCGTTTTGGACCGTCCTGCGACTTCACCATCCTGAATATGCGACTTATAACCAAGCCGTGTTGTTCTATTAAAACACCTACGACTTATAACCAGTTAATCAGCCCCAACCGAAACATAGGAATAATTTTTAACCCAGCCATAAACAGTTTGTACTTCTTTTACATTTCTTACACCAATAATAAATATTTCAACCTATTGCACGAGTGTGCAACATTGCCACTGATTTCTTGTCGCTTGTCAGCACACTTATGCCTAGATAACATTTGCCGCGGACGCCGTACGATAAATTAGTCTACGATTTCTCTTGCGCTTTTCGAGGCATCGTAGGAGGCTACGGGCTACGATGTTTGTGTTTACATTATCTACGACCATCGTGCCATTTCTTGTATTGACCTTCCGGGGCAGGCCGGGGTAAATCCGTACAGAGGCTGCTCGGAGATTTACGGAAATCGTGCAATTTCAATGCAGTAGCCATGCAGTCTCCCCAGCCTCCGCACGGAAATCGTACGGAGCCCGTGCAGCTTGCAAAAGTTGCGCGGAGAAGGCGCAGTGACCGTGCAGCTACCGTGTCGTTTTAAGCGTTGTTTGCCTCCATATTCTCCGTAAAATCGTATTTGCTGCACGATCAGCGAGCGTCCTCCGCGCGATGCCCGTGTGGGGATTGTGCAATGACACCTACGACATGTCTACGGGCTAACGATTTTTTTAATTTGTATAACTTTCTGCGAAACAAATTCGTAGAGGCCGCGGTGCCCCGCGGAGCCCGTGAATCCGTACGAAAATATCACGGCCGCCTCCTGCCTCCGTACGGTGGCCGCACGGAAAAGGGCATACGGGCAGGGTACGGGTTCCGTAGACTAATCGCAGGTCAAATGTAATCCAGGCATTACCCATGGTTCAAATATTTTCAAAGACCCCCCGTCGCCCCTAAACTGGATTTTTTTTTATCCCATAATGTACTAAGCAATGAATTGATATGAGAGGTTCTCAAAACGTCTCTTTAAATAAATATAGATGTCTCTGTCCTGCATAAAATATCTACTAGTTTAAGCAGGAACATTTTTTAAATGGTACAAAAAAGGGCTAAACCCTCAACAACACATGTGCTAACAGTCCGTGCTTTTCACACCCAAAACAACATCGGTATAATAACCTTCACTGTGGCATGACGTCAGGCTACCATTCCAGTGACCATCAGGCTGACACACCCTCTCACTTGACCCCATCAGCTCTAGATGTGACGGACACCTGAGGGTCATCATCGTTCCTACGGGCCAAAAATTCGTGGCGCCTCGTCCGTTTCTCGGCGAGAAAGAAATCCGGCCGTTGTCAAGGTGACGGGAACCAGGGTTGGGACACCTTGCGACTAAAGATTTACAAAAAAAGTATCCAACGGTCTACATCTTATTTTAATAGCTGATTTCGATTATTTCTTCTTTTATAGATCAAATAGTTTAATTATCAAAGAGACAACGGGGATATTCCATTTAATGAAGAATTTGATCATTGATAAACATACAAAATGGATGTACACTGTCGCTCATAACGTTGGAATATTTTTTTTTTTACCCCAATTTATGGAATTATTTTGACAATGATATATTTCTCATAGATCTAGATAATAGTATACATTCTCAGATTTATTGAATAATAATTTGCCAGTGTTTGTTTTGCGTGACTGCTAAAGCATGTGCATGCTATAAATATGCTTATTAACTAGGGAACCTACGCCCTTAAGTCATAAATGACAGTAATGAGGATTAATGCCCACAAAAAAAGGCACTAATATAGCACATCGACATGGTTTTGATCCCGGGGCCTCACAGTTCCGAGGCCTTTGCTTTGCCACTGAACCATGACTGTACGCAGCGGGGGCTAGGGTAGGGGGCAGTTCCCACTAATACAAAAAAAAAATGCAAACAATTATCAATAATTCATTGAATTTCCCCCAGGTCCCCAACAGAAAAAAAATCTTCTGTGTGCCCATGCCTTGAGCCATAATACATGGCCGTACAGAGGATTTGTTTATGTTGAGGACCGGGGTAAAATGCAATGAATTATTGATATTTTATTGCATTTTATTTTTTATTTTTTATTTTTTATTTGTTGGAACTGCCCCCTACCTTTGCCCCCGCTGCGAACAGTCATGATTCAGTGGCACATCAATGGCCTCGTAACTTTGAGGCCCTGGGATCGAAACCGTGTCGATGTGCTATATTAGTGCCCTTTTGTGGGGCATTAATCCTCATTACTGTAATTTATGGCTTAAGGGCGTAGGTCCCCTAGTTGAATAGCAAACACATGCTTTAGCAGTCAACCAAAACAAACACTGGCAAATTATTATTCATTAAAATCTGAGAATGTATACTATTATCTAGATTTATTAGGAATAAATCATTGTCAAAATAATTCCATAAATTAGGGTTAAACAAAAATTCCAACGTTATGAGCGACAGACCCGTTGTCAAATTCACCAACCCATCTGTATTTAGATAAGCTGCTCTACCAGTCATTCGTGTGGTCCAGCCTCCAGCTGGGTCCCACATGCTTCAACGCAGAGGCATTTTCACTCGCACGGTGCCTACTCACGTATATTTACAACAGTTTAGATAAAATGTACTTAATTTTCAATACACGGAAGCAATGAAAAACGAAAACAACGGACTACTCGGTAATGAAAAAAAAAAACGTTTTTACAAAAAGGAATGTGTAGAACTTTCAAGTAAGCAGAAATAAGACAGAAAGAACACAGCCTATTTAACACAGCCCTAATTAACACAGCCCTATTTATAAATACATTTAAATGACTTGTTGATACTTCTTGGATTTAATTCTCTTTATCAATGATAGTACCACAAACCTTTGCAGCTTGGAACGCTATCGGACCATATCCCATTGGGTCCACCGTGACTCTGACATACTTGCCAGCCTATTCCATCGACGTGATACCCGTCGTTACATTCATATTGCACCATCTGTGGACGAAGATTCAGAATACCATTGAAATTGAACTTCTTAAAAAAAATCATCTAGTGATTTTACGCATCTTATTAACCAATAAATAAACTGCGATAAAACATCCGACTCAATTAACTTATTAATAAATAACGTAACTGATTAACGAATATATGGATTTATTAACCCAATAACTTGATTAGCTATTCGATAATCTAAGTTTAATCAGTCACTCAACTGATTAACAAATTAATCAAACGATCAATTAGTAAAAAACTATCTAAACGGATCAATGGCGAGCAGATAAAAAAAAATTCTGTCTAAATCAATCAATGAATTCTTAAGTTATTTCTCATGGGATGAGCGATTCCAAGCAACAATTATCCCTTCTTATAAAATACAATATGATTTTATTATCATTATCATTATATCATAATATCAATATTATTATTGAATTATTATTATTATTATTATTATTATTATTATAATTATTATTGTTATCATTATCATCATTATTCGTCACCGTGCTAGATAATACATAATGGTGATAGTGAAGAATCCACTATCCATAAGGCCATGATCTTGTTCTTTTATTAATAACTTGGATTTTTTGTTTGTTCCCCAATTAATGAGAGACAACTAAAGACTTACTTCTCCAACATGGTAGGTCCTGTTCTCAATGTTATGTGAACCATTCTGTAAGGGCTCCAGGGTGGGTGGGGCACAGGTGATCACTGCATCATAAGAATAAAGATGTACCAACGTTTGGCTCATCGAATGACAATACCGCACATGGTCCGTGGGAGTGGGTAGGGCTCAAGCATGCCCCGCCCCCCCTGTCCATTTTTCCCGAAACGGACTAACCTACACGGATAGACCCATCATCTTTAAGGTCATTTTCATAACCTAAACGTCTAAAAGTTATCCCATGACGTTCGTATTTCTCGCTAGCTATCCCACACCCAGTTATGAAAATATACATTAAATGTGAACTTATTTGATAATATACACTATTGCACTTGTATATGTTTTGACAGTTTTGCTTCATGAATTGCGTTTTGACATTGGAATTTGTATTAAAAAAATAAGATAACAAAAATGAAAAGCTCTCCTTCCGATTTGCTTTAAACAACTCTCAAAATAATTAATCGGAGGTGCGTCTGACGATCGTCACTGACTTGAAAAAGGTAAGGGGGAGGCTTCATACGCCATAAAGGTCGTAAAGATTAACGAGTTAAAAACATAACAAGAAAGCAGAAACAAAAGATCCATTTCATTTATGTAACGTCCCTAACAAATTATGAACATTTCAAACGATTCCAATCTCATTTAATTTGTCAAAGAGCAGGGATGCAGAAGTGCCCCTTTGTATGAATTCCCCTAAGTTTCAAACGCCCTTCATCTGTTCAACTTCTCCCGCATTCTGCATCCCCTCCCCCACACCAAATTTCGATCGATTTGTTAAAACATGCACAAATTAGCGCATTAAAAACATTGAGTTTTTTGTCAGGATTTAATTTTTCTTTTTTACCAACTCTGGCACACAAATTAAAGGAAGAACGGAGTACCTAATTTGAAGATTTGTTTGATGCACTATTCCCAATACAATCCCCATATAAAGTTTTTGATTTACACTGAAATGTTGCCGGTAAATTAATACTTTGTAATAAATGTAAAACTGGTGCCTGGCTTCCGAAAGTCCCCGCAGTGGAAGCGCGGTTCGGAGCATGGAACTTCAAAGTCAAGTATAATGTTACACATTCCTTTGTTACGCTTTAGAACTCACGAATGCGTTTGAATAAATTACAAGAGTTTCTCCTCCTTCTTTCAACTCCCTGCTTGAACCTTACTGTTGCATTCTGGGACATCCGCATCCGCTTCCCATGTGCCATTCTGACACGTAATTGTGACGTCCCCGGTTGGATGATATCCTGTTTGGCAGGTATAGTTGAACACTGTGCGTTCGGTGTAGAGATCACCACGTTTGATTCCAGAGTTGTTATCAAGAACCAAGGCTAGCATTCCGAACGGTTTGTTTGGGTCAGGGCATGATGGAGGTCCTAGCAATTTAAAGAACAAAATGTGGACTATATTTATAAAATATGAGCGAAATGATTTATGGAACAAAATAGCAAGATGCCTTAATCATTACAAATTGACCTCTTCTTTGTAGAAAGTGATATCTATATTTATTTTCTCCTTACTTACTCCCCAATATTATAAAATTTTTAATATAGAAATGAGTACAGCAAATATTGTAGAATTGAGAGCAAAACCCCGAATGAAGGAGCCTAATTGGGAAACACATGAACATTAAAAGTTAGGCTTACATTGAAAGAACATTGTCATATTAATTTCTTTTGTATGTCAGTCAAAGGAAAGAAATCGAGAGTTTAGAAGAAAATTCAGTTCATGAGGAAAAATTAGGAGAACATTTGACTTGCACAACAGACCAATTATGCTGACTAATATTTTAGCCTAAATTGCAATTTGTATATTATTACCCCGGCTCGAGCTCCTGCAGCAGTAGCGCTCATTGTACTCACGGGATAAATCCTACTATGTACTATGTACTCACTATATACATATGGGTCGAGTCTATTCGAGTGTGGCAAATTTAGATTCATGTATTGCCAAATCAAGTAAATGCCGCGGCAATAAATCGAACCCTGAACCTTGTGGTATACAGTTCGGTGACTTATCCATTATGCTTGTACCACAACACCTCTACTTTCATGTGTTTCTGTGATTTTTTTTAAATTGTTTAAATTCTTTAAAATATTGAATACATGAATAGATTGGCGTATGTTTACCGCCAGAATAGTGTCTCGCAACTTACTGACTTAGCAATGGACAAACTTATCGTGTAGTAACTAATAATACAAAAATGCTAGTCAAGCTTTTGTTAAAAATCAATGAAAATAAAAGGTAGAACCACCTTTCACTTACCATGGCAATACGGGTAATCGCTCCATTGTCCATTGTCCTGGCAGATGATGAATTCATCTCCTACAAGCGCTGCGTCAGGCTCACACACTGCGCGCACCATGTAATTCACAGGGAAATGTGTCAATCCATAGCCTGTACTGTGCTGATATTCGTAACGTCCTTTCCGTAAACTCCTCGGTCGACGACAGCTAGTACCCTCTGAAAGAATGTCATATAATTGGGTAAAAAATGCTTGAAAACACTTATTTCATGGTGGGTGGGTCCAGGGGCCATGGCCCATGCTACTAAGAGCGAACAACAACATTCTTTAATTCTTATTGAACACGAGTCGTCATCTGCCTGACGTAAAACTGCGTCAATCCAGTCTGTTTTGTTCTGATATGCCATTTCCGTAACGCCATGGTCGATGACAACTCTTATTTTCTGAAACAGTTTTAAATAATTAGAAAGAAACTAGTTTCACAATAAACACTAACTTATCATATTATCATATTCAAAATTTTAAACTTTGCCTTACCTGCACAGGAACAGAGGACTCCTATAATGGCGGCTACGATGGTCGCCGAAAACTTCATTTCAATACTTCGTAGATCGCCTTCTCAGACAAACTGAAGTGAGTCTGGCCGAGCGAGCGAGCTGCAGAGAAAAATGACAACCAATAAAACTCAGAAATGCACGTATGTGATAGTTACTAACCCTGCGTTCCAGCACAGAACCACCAAGTGGTGATATGACGAGCTTTGGCAACGAGCTCCTTTCAGTTAAACATACAGAAAGACAGACGGACCACGGACGATGGACAGACACATAAAGGAAAAGTGATAGGGTGATGAGTGGGGCTGTTACAAAAAAGAGCAGATGGTTTTTAGAGTGTATGATTTCTGTCATGTGAATAATAAAAAGATAAGTGACACGGAAAGAGCTGTGTAGCAAATTAAGATGTTTTGTCATTAATTTTGAAAGAAATGTGCCACTCGGAAAGAACACTTTGCACTTGATACTTGTTGAAAACCAATCTATTTCATATACATATATATATATCAGATAAATCCACCTCTACTTGATTAGGGCCTATAACATTTTTTTTGTGTGTGGATTTTTGTCCAAGGTCAAAAAGAACCTTATTCCCGGGGTCTTTCATAAACTTGTGGCATACAATCATGCATATTTACTGGGATTGATGCGGACATTTTTTGGAGATGAATTTTTGTTTTAAAGTTTTCGAACGCTTCATCCTTGCTCTCGTGCAAGAATCAGAATTTGAGATGGAATGAGGTATGAAATCTCTAGGAAAACGAAAACTGTTTTCACGTGTTAACCTATTGCGAACGTGATTTGTCGAGCCCGTTTTCTTCACGAAGCAATTTTACCTGCCGAACGTACTACGGAAGTAAGGAATGGTAAATTGTCTTGATATTCTTTAGCATTTCCCTTACCCGAAGTCTCTCCGAGAGATAGCGGGAATTTCTTGCGCGAAATGATCCGATTCTAACAAGTATTAGATAGTTTTGAAGTTTTTTTATGCCGGAATCAACGAACACAAATACTTCTATTTCCTTATTGATGAAAATCGTATTTGCAATTATTTTCTAGGATGAGTGTAATTGAGTTAAAACTGCCATCAAAGAAATTATAAATCTATGATATGTTATAAGACAGAGCAAACGGGAGAGTAATTTGGAAGATACGTCACAGGGTTGTCAATTTTTATTTGCATGATTACAATTTCAAAAGTTTTAACTTTATTATTTCTAATAGAATTTTGGTGAAACTTTTTCTGATCTATTTCTTTCAAAATAATTCCCGTTCCCGGCAAAACCAACTGGACATCGGAGAGGGCTTCTCCTTTAACAGAGTGATTTCATCTTCATGGCAACATGGCATCGATAGCATTTGCAATCTTATTGATAAATAATAGAAGTGCGTACGCGGATGAGTGCTTCTTGCAAAAACCAAATTGGGAGCAGGAGAGAACATGATTACAATTTTGAAAAAAGAAATAAGGCGAGATTAAACAAAAAACAAATTCGAGGATCTTTGAGAAAATAGTTAGAAGTGAAATGGGGCGGTAATTTGCTACGTCCTATTGATCACCTTTCTTTAAAATGGGTATAACCGTTGCGATCTTTTTTTTTTTATCAGGGACAGTGCCGGTTGTTAGTGATAGATTACAAATATAGGAGAAACTATTACATGGATGATTTTTTTTTAGTTAGTAAAACATTAGGGATACCATCATAACCTGAACTATAAAAAGAAAATACTATTTGGAATGTTGCCTCATAAATAAGAATGGAATGGTAAATTGGAATCGGGAATGTTGCGGGCAAGATTGGGGCGTATGTTCACGAAAAATGAATTTTTAGTGTACGCATTTTCAACGCTAGTATTATTGTGTTTACATTCACAGTAACAAATGAAACGGGATGCGTTTTTGCGGGTACTTGAGATTTAATAGAGGATGGAATCTTGTTACCCTGAATATCAACATCATGACAATAATAACAACTACGACACAAACTTTCCCAACTGAATATAAAATACGTTTACTTAAACGTTACACTGCTCCAATCTGCCCCAGGGAAGGACCCGGGTATCATTTTCGAATCTTTTGATCAATTTATACAAGTATCTGCACATGAAAAACTGGATGGAGCCGGCATGTCCAATCCATAGTACTCTCTGCATCAGGGCCGTCAACAGACGAGAACTTGTGTACAACCCCCCACAGCCCGTAAAAAGGCGACACTGTTTCCTCATTAAAGAGGGCGAACAGAGTTTACCTTCTCATATGGAATTTAACTGTGAGTACCACAAAGTGGGCTGTACGTATAACACCCCTCTGCATACAAAGAAGACACACGGTTCCACTGCATTAAACAGGCGAACAGATGCCTACTTTACAGGCGGGTACATGTTATAAATAAATAAACAGGATACCTGTTATCATCGGGGCCCTTACCGGAAAACCATAAATATTGAGCTCTGAAAAACTGGATGGAGCCGGCATGTCCAATCCAAAGTACTCTCTGCATCAGGGCCGTCAACAGACGAGAACTTGTGTACAACCCCCCACAGCCCGTAAAAAGGCGACACTGTTTCCTCATTAAAGAGGGCGAACAGAGTTTACCTTCTCATATGGAATTTAACTGTGAGTACCACAAAGTGGGCTATACGTATAACACCCCTCTGCATACAAAGAAGACACACGGTTCCACTGCATTAAACAGGCGAACAGATGCCTACTTTACAGGCGGGTACATGTTATAAATAAACAGGATACCTGTTATCATCGGGGCCCTTACCGGAAACCAATAAATATTGAGCTCTGCAAGATACAATGGCCAATTAAAATAATCCAAATCATATTCTCCAAAACACAACCTTCCCATGGGGTATTCTGCAGCAGTGTTATACACATAATAACCTTTATATGTATATATTAACATATATACACATACACATATATATATGCGAAGAGGCAAAAATGCCAATTTCCGCATGTCACAACGCAAATTCCAACAATTCGCGTGTTTAGATCCCCCCCCCCCCCCCCCCGAGGCCACTCCGTGACCCCCTTTCGGATGAGGTGAGGGCGAAACAAACCCGATCTTCAGACCACTGATCTGAGAAACATGACCGGGACAAAATTCCCTCACGGCCCACGACTGCGGAGCCATTCGTTATAAAACCGCAGATATTCGTGCGACCAAGCAATTTGCTCCAAATCCGAGTAAACTTTCAATTTGATATAGCATTACCCTGCATGTCCTTTGGGAATACAATTCTCCTTTAATTCGTGAACACACTCACTAAATAATGTTAAACCCACTGTATACAGCGATAAATCGGTATAACGAGGTTCTTAATTGGTCCCGTTAAATTTACCATGCTACAGCAGAAATGCCGTTGTATATAATCATGGACCTAATACAGGTAACAACAAAATATAATATAACGAGCTGGGACCAGGAATGTTATTCTGCTATATTAACAACATTGTTACATATGAAATCTCCTTTAATCGAGATTACCCTGTATCGTATATATTCGATTGCTTGACCTAAAGCATGTAAAACAATTTCCATGCATTATTGCATTTATATCTGTGAGACAAAACACATATCATGTCAATCATAACTTATCTCCTAGACCAACAAAACCATTATTACAAAATCGTATTGCTTGCAAAACAATAATGCCAATATATATAATCGAATTAACAACAACGACAAAATATGGTATAACGAGCTGAGACCAAAATTGATACTCGGCTATATCAACAACGTTGTTATATATAAAATCTCCTTTAATTGTGATGCAGGAAATCCCCAACCTGCCAAGCATTGCTTCGACATCAAGATTACTTGACTGAGGGGAAAAAACAAACATGATTAATCCGTTATGTTAATCACTTGACACGCTTCCTGACCACATAATATTTGGTAAAACATACTATCGAATACACTTGAAAAACGTAAGGAGGAAAATGAAGTTGGGGTTGGTGGAGGGTAAATTAATTTGCCACCGAATAATGTCTATGACCATCCTCTAAAAAATCTGCAAGGTGAATGAGGATTCTCACGCCAACACCGTGAGAACCAATATATCCCGGCTAAAATAATTCCATATATAAATTCGAAACATACATTGCGCACATTCCTTTTATAGATACGCGTACATGAAAGAAGCCGCGCGGCTGACTCAAAGGGTGTCGGCACGTTATTGTTTTCTATCAAGATGCCGCTAAGGGTCATCACAGAAGAGAAGCCGCCGCGAACTCGTGATGTCACTGATGAATGTAAACCATTTATATCGCCCTTCGTTCGATAAAATTTCTTACATTCACAGTAACAAATGAAACGGGATGCGTTTTTGCGGGTACTTGAGATTTAATAGAGGATGGAATCTTGTTACCCTGAATATCAACATCATGACAATAATAACAACTACGACACAAACTTTCCCAACTGAATATAAAATACGTTTACTTAAACGTTACACTGCTCCAATCTGCCCCAGGGAAGGACCCGGGTATCATTTTCGAATCTTTTGATCAATTTATACAAGTATCTGCACATGAAAAACTGGATGGAGCCGGCATGTCCAATCCATAGTACTCTCTGCATCAGGGCCGTCAACAGACGAGAACTTGTGTACAACCCCCCACAGCCCGTAAAAAGGCGACACTGTTTCCTCATTAAAGAGGGCGAACAGAGTTTACCTTCTCATATGGAATTTAACTGTGAGTACCACAAAGTGGGCTGTACGTATAACACCCCTCTGTATACAAAGAAGACACACGGTTCCACTGCATTAAACAGGCGAACAGATGCCTACTTTACAGGCGGGTACATGTTATAAATAAATAAACAGGATACCTGTTATCATCGGGGCCCTTACCGGAAAACCATAAATATTGAGCTCTGAAAAACTGGATGGAGCCGGCATGTCCAATCCAAAGTACTCTCTGCATCAGGGCCGTCAACAGACGAGAACTTGTGTACAACCCCCCACAGCCCGTAAAAAGGCGACACTGTTTCCTCATTAAAGAGGGCGAACAGAATTTACCTTCTCATATGGAATTTAACTGTGAGTACCACAAAGTGGGCTATACGTATAACACCCCTCTGCAT